AAGATTTAATTGATAATTATAAAAACTTTAACATAATATTAAAATGTATATCGAATGCGATATGTAGTATGCTCCAGAACATTACCAAGACTCCCATCAAAGATTCTAGAGTACTAAATCTCATACCTTCAGCATTGGCAAAATTAAAACTACTTTCAAAATCTTAATCGAGACAGTTAACTTCGCGAAGGAAAAAAGCATTTCGACTAACTGCATAAATTTTGATATTCTCCTACAATTTAGCATGATTTGTTTCATACATATTATATACGAATATTCTTTATTTCCCGTTTTATGCTTAAGTTTATCGAAGAAAAGCTGATACTGTTTCAATTTCTTTTTATATATTTAAAATATATATTAAAAGGCAAAAAGAAAAGTTAATACTTTTAAACCCCTTCTTAAGATGTTCCCGTTTGGTTTGAAATGCCACACCTTCGGCAGGCTGTTTATTCCTTTCTGAATCATTAGTGTTTTGCAGACAGTGGCATGTCCAAGCATGAATCCCTGACACGATTCAGTTTAACAATAACCTTTTTTGATAAAATTCCTAAGGAGATTTTGGCCAAAAGTATTTCTAATTTCATGCATGATATTAATTTTGGATTTATTTCTGTACAAGAAAGGCTATCTGTTTAAAGAGAGGGATACTTTCGTGAACCACTTTCAAAGGGAAACAGACTCGTAGTCAACATAAACATTGAGACAACTGAGAAAATACAGCAATTCCGTTCTTCGCGATTTGAAGCCAGGTCAATCTACCAATTATCAGCTGTGATATCCGCTCGTGAACACGAATGATTTTAGTGATAGACTTTTCAATACCATTGTGGTTGTAATGTTTCAAATCAAGTTGATTTTTCTGTTGATTTTTTTTTTTTTTTTCAGTAGTCAATATTTAAATAAAAACTGTATAAGTTATTTCTCCCGCCTTCTTAGAATGCCTTCGGGGTGTAGTGGTCATCATGCTCGATGCGATTTCGAGAGGTCCATGGTTCGAGTCCCGGCGAGGGTATTGCTCATTTTTCATCTCTTCTGCTTCGAAATAATAATGTCCCTACAACTTTAATATACCTTAACAGCTTTCTATGCATGCAACGCATCTACATCAGCATCATCTTATCATCCTAATTCATTGTTTGAAATGAGCTAACCTCTAGGGTGTAACTTGCGACTCACCTGTTAAAAACACAAAAAACTGGTAACAATTGTTCAGAGAAGTTTGAAAAATGCTTTGTTGAAATATTTCTTGTTCTTCTTCCACTTCTCTCAAGAGCACTTTGCAGCTCCTGAGCTACCCTAGGAGCGGGCTATAATTTTGAAATTTTATCGACTTAATGTGCAAGGTTTTCCAAACATGTTCAATCGAGTTTAAATCCAGCCCATTCTCTGCATACGTTCGCTTTACAAGTAGCCACAACTGAGTTTCGCTTGATGTAGTCGTGAGCTTTCTTCCACTAAGATGAATTCATTGCTGATATGCTCACTATAAGTTTCCCGTTTGAATACCACATTTTAACTCTGTATGTAAGAATTTAAAAAACTACCTTGAAAAACAAGCAAGGTGTGGGTTTTCTTTTTTAAACGCATGTCTTTCTAATACTTTGCTAAGTCAAAATCTTGTTTGTAACACTCTTTAAATAAGTGTTCGTAGAGAATCCCTCTTTTAGCAGAATATTATAATCTATGAAAATCTAGTTACCACGTCCCTACTCCGTTTCAAATGTGCACGCTTACTGTCGTCGAAGCAAGAGGTACCAAAATGTGGGTATCTCGCATAGAAGTCTCTTTCGTGCAGCCTAGTATAGATCAGCAGATGTGAGTTCTTGTATTTGCAGTAAGCTCAACAGCGATCTATGGTGATCTTACCTATCCGTTTCCCTTCAGGGTTAAAATGGTCCTTCGACTTAGTTGTGGTCCATAGAAGGCCATATTTTACACAAGGTGTTTTCCTATTCAGTACTCTTAACAGTTCCACAAGCTAGGCACATGCTTTGTGGTGTAATTGTGAGGATCGCAATCCTTTCTTACCGCCTAACTTCGAAGTATAATTAGAAGCATTTCGGGTTAGAATAAAAAGGTCCGGAGTTCGAATCCCGACAAGGGCACGCTGATTTCTCATGTTTTTCGGCTACAGAAAATTTGTAAGGCGCAAGTGGTTCGAGAACTAAAATATGGTGGACGATAATTCGTCACCCACCTGGATTTGGCGAACGGCTCCCGTCCTTCTCAGTCGCAATAAAGTTGGAGAGAATGTAGGGAATTTACTTCTTCCTTACCGCCCGTCCTTATGATGTAATCGGAAGCACTTCATTTAGTATCGGGACTTCGAATCCAGTAGAGCGCATTGTTTTCTTCCTTTTTGTGTGTGTGTGTTTCCTGCTTTGAAGTAAGACTTAGTAGATCTAGATGACTGTCCGTGACTTTTTCCGTTCCTGTTTACATACGGTAATACTAAATATTCTTCATTACTAAAGGATCCGCTGTAATTTGCAAGAGGAAAATCTTACCCAGCTCAAAGTAGGGCCAAATATGAATTATGACTTTTTTATGCGTTCTAAATTTCTTAATACAATTTTATAGTATATAATAATAATTTTAATTATTTATTTGAATCGAAATGTTATTTAATCAAGACATTTCAAGAGTTGAAAACCTGGATGTCATTGAAAGAACAACCTATTTGGTTCGAATTAACAGTTTACATTGACATCTTAAAACTCAAGTAGTTAAGAACCTTAAAACTTTTGTCCAATTTCAAAGGATAAGAAAAGAATGCAGAATTAGAGCTGTGATATGCTTACAGGAACAATACATTAAAAATTCAGCCAAAATGCTAATTTTAAAAGTAATGAAATATAGGCAAAAATATTTTTATGTATTCTTAAAAATTTTGATTTCTTAACTTTAAATTCAGTATTATGCTACAGAAAAAAATTCAACAATTCCTTGATTTAGTTCTAGATATTTTATGTTTAATTTAGAAAACTTATTTTCAGCAACAAGATTTTTTTTTGATTGAATAAAGTGAATGAAAATTTAAAACGTTCTGAAACCTCTTTCTTTGTAAGGAAAATACGCACTTGAAATTTAAACACGGGCTACAAATGGTAGTGTGAGTATATTAAACTTTTAAGTTTTATATTTAATCTGTATAGCATTTTAACACTCTAAAACTGTTGACATAAAGTGTTTGTATCAGTTCCATTAATCTACTTTAGTTCAAACTTCTTTTACTGTACTGAAAGGGAGAAGATGTCTAAATGTCCCAAAGTATTCACTATCGTATGGTTTGCAAAATCCGTTTTCGCAGCTTTTAGAATACGAAACTGCCTCCAAATATCATCAATACGCACCAGGAAGCATCAGCACAAAGAAGGACCCCTTTTTTTGGTCTTGAATAAAAGATCGACCACCGAAGAAAACGTATCCAAGTCCCACTAACCGTGGGAGACTCCGGACATCAACAAAGCAACTGAAAATTTCTCCTCGCTTATGCTCTCGGAGATGAAGCAGTCGCGAACAAAGGGCGAGGTTTTCCTCCCCAGGTACATGTCCTTGAGATCTTTTATTCTGGTTATGGAACGTGCAGCATAGGGAATTTTACCTACCTCTGGGCTTTAACGTATTTTCCAGTCTTTGTCTAAGACACCCATTCAAAACTACCTTCTTGGGGGTACACTGAAAACAGTTCCTCCCAACAAAGGAAGCTGAGTAAAGGTAGGTGAATACAGGTAGGGGTTACTTGGGGTACCTATTCTCTGGGATGGGAGAAGGGGCCGAAATTGACCGACAGCTGGGCTGAGTCGTGGATCAGCGCGCTTTGACCCGAGGAACAGATGCGATGCTGAAGCAGCAGCTGGCGTTCCAAGAGGGAGGGTCGAACCTCGAATCCCGATTGGCCAACTAAGGAAGAGAATACCAGGTGCTCGGATAGTCTTCGATTCATCGGATGAACGACCTTTCTCCTCCTTTTCTTAGACGATGCTAGTTGAAGAAATACAATAAGTTTTTCGTTTTTAAAGTAGCTAAGCTCATTTTCTAATATGAATGATGAATAATCCCGTGAAATGGATGAAGAACAAGCTTGCTACTTTGAAATTATTATATTATGCATCGGAGGAAATTATCAAAATTCTATGGAGTTGACTCAACGTTGATGCTTTAAAGTAGACTTCTGGAAATCCTAGTCCAAGGAATTAGACGAAAAAGCACATAAAGCGCTTTGTGAGCTTTCTATTTATCTCAACACCTTTCTTACATTAATCGTCTTTTAACATGAAAAAGGGATTGTAAGCTTCGTAAAAACAAAAATAAACAAAGTACTATTTTAAGTGACCGTATTTTTTGGAAAGATGACATTCGGGAAATTCTTTCGGGAATTTCCCACTTTCTTAAAAGAAAGAAAAGTTAAGCAGGAAACTTAGTTACAGTTCCCATTTGTTTTATGCCCGAGATAAATGTTCGAAATTTTTGATATTCAAGGTATAAAAAAAAAAAAAAAAAAAAACTCCAGAACTAGCCGAGGTACGGTGATTATGTATTATTTTAAGTGCTGCAATATTTGTAAGTTAATCAATAATAAAAATAAGATTAAATTCTTAAAATTTAGAATACTTTAAAAATGAGGGGAAAAAAAACAAGCTAAATTTTGGAGCAGATTTTGAACAATCTTGATTTCGAGAAGAATCAGATATAGGTCCGTCTTCTTCAGAAGCATTTTAATCCTGAAGAACGTTGATCTGTATTTGGTCTCCTTCGAAATTGATAAAGTTTTATTCAAAATCTACGCCAGACTAAGATTGTTATTATTATTATTTTGCCTAATTTTAAAGTTTAAACTGGCGTGTTTCTTTTCTCTTTGATTTAGAATACTGTTCTAAACTTTAGAAAATTAGTTTGGAAGAAAATTATTCAAGCAAGAAAAATATATAACAGTGAATAATAATCAAAATTAAGGAAATGCCTGTTAATTCACATCAAAGCAGAAGAAACTCCATCATTCGATATATTTTATTAATCTCCTCATCTAATAAAATCACTCAAATCTACTTCATAAAAAAGTCATGTTAAACATAAAACCTTAAAATTTATGGGCTGGGAAATGAATTTGATTAATTTGTTTGTAGAATTCCAGTCAAGCAATATTGGTTTTAGAGATTCGAAATCGCTGACTTGTCAGCTTTGCAGTTAGTTCTTTAACAGATTTTGAAGCTACAGTTTCATGCGTTGAATTCCAGCTACATGATATGATCTGCCTTGGAGAGAATTCTGCCTTTTCGAAGAGAATATCTAGTATCCAGAGAGTGACTTGTCCAAACATCGGTTCTGAAACCTATCTGTTAGCTAAGAATAAAATAAGATAGTAGTATTAAGGTTTTAGAAGTTGATATACGCAATATTATTGTTACAATTATAATTTACATATTCTCTGTAAATAATATAAGGTTTATTATAATTATATTCAATAATAAGTATGCAAGATTGTTTTTTAAAAGGCAGATTTTTGATAAAAAATTGTTATTTATGACAATGCAATAACGTGTCATTCATTATTTGATACAGCAAAAATGAAAATTGCTCTTTCAGGCGTTCACTATCCATAAGTCAGCCTACATCACTGCGATAGTTAATTTTATGCCCCTCGCACTCGAGCTGTGAATTAAACAGCAATACGGTTGCAACAGTTTTGCTACTTAGCTTACCAGGGACCGAGTGGATAAGATAAGAGCGGTGAATATAGGTAATTCTAAAAAAATGTAGGCTAGAATGGGCTACCTGCGCGTATTTTTACATAGTTTTCCTAATGTGTGAACTAAATGTGACCCAGTTTTCTTTAGGACGTTCTTCATAAACTCATCTCTTTCCTTGAACAGATTGCCTTCGTATGTTTTGCCACTTTTGACTAAACAGCAGTTAGTTACCAAAGGATTTGAAATGTAGTTGGCAAACGCTGCATCGTTGACGAATGAGAAGAAAGCAATACCTATTCATTCATTCATTATTAAGTGTGCCGAGATATTGCATTTAAATGTAACGTGTCCGGCTCATGACAAGTAGCAATACCTAGGCATCAGATTAGAGAAACAAGAAAGTCAACAGTCACACGGTCACAACACACGGCCAACTGGCTTATTATTCAACTTGATTAAATTTGGGCAATAGGTGCTGCAGGAAATGAGCAGAAATTCCGCATTTGTTGCCTCTGTGCTGTTTACGGATGAACTGCAGTTCCAAGGGCCATCCTAAGCTTTTACAACACACATTGCTGGTCATCAATTAGTCTGTCAAGCCTCCCCATCTTCCGATAGGAATCGCTAAAATTATTCCCTATCTTTGGGACATCAGAAGGCCGAATTCATCCCCTTGCTGCAGCAGACGAATTCCAAAGCGGATGAAGTGTCCACTACCGGAAATCCTGGACTCTGACAATACGTCACCTGCGATATGACATGTACCTCTTGCATATTCGAAATCCACTTCGAAACCGTAAATAAGCTATGCGGTAAAACGAAAAAATTTTACTTTTTGAAGAAAGGCTAACGAAGTTGATAGGTTTGGTTTGTTTATGTTTTATTATGACAAAGCACACTAGGGCTAGCTGCAGAGGGAGGGATGCTTCGTGGAGGACTTTCTAAGGGAAACTGGCTCGTATGCACGTTACACATGGTGAAAACCACGAAAACGCCCGTGCAGTCAGCCCGTTCGCGGGATTCGAACCTCAGCAAGTTGATAGAAGCGAAGGGAAAAAGCAGATGACGACTATGCTTAGTATGGAAGCTTAATTGAAAATGAAAAAGGTTTTTGTTTACAATTTGGACATTCAGTTCAGAATTAGCTGCGCCACCAGCGTTATGAAGCAGACAGTGAGTTGATATATCCAAATTAAACTGCGGAGTAAAGGAATTATTGCAAAATAAAATTCTTTTGTTTTGTTTAAAATTAAATGCTTCGTTTAATTATCAGTTCAAATAAAATTTATCTTTATTTGGCTTACTTTTAAATGCTTTCGAATAAAAAATATGTGTGAGTTTTTTATTCAGTAACTTTAATTTAGAAAATTTAAAGGGAATTTATTAGGTCATCCAAGAGGAAGTACATTTTCAGCTTTAAATCGGAGCTTTTACACAAAAAAGCTTGAAAGCGTAATTAAAAAAAATAAAAAATATGCAAAGATCATAGAATTTTCTTTACTCTTCATCACAGTATAATTAGTTTCAAGTTGCGAAGTATATAAAATATTTCAATTTACGGGATGCTTATCATTATCTTCGCAGACACAGCTAATTAAACTCAGTAGTTCAGAGACAGGTAAATTTATTATCATCTTTCCTCATTTTAAAAAAAAATTGAAATAAATACAAACTAATTACAGATTGCAAGCAGGTAATATTACAGATAAATTTATGGAATTGTTTCATAACAATTAAACTTTACTAAGTTGGGCAAAACGCCTAATTTATCTCCAGCTACTTCAGTTTATTAAAATAACCTGATTTCAATCGAATATAGTTCTATCAGAAAAAATGAAGCTGTCAGGTCATTTACAGCACATAGAATTGAATATCTGAGTAGAGTCGGCAGCCTTACCAAGACATAGTTATTAATGCTGAGGTTACAGTGAGATCAAAACTACAGAGATTAGACAATCAAACTAAAACACCTGCATCTAGAACGTAAAACTTTTGCAATACGGTTTAGACCCTCTTTTGAAGGATAATATTGCAACGATTCTTCTTGAACATGAGAGTTAGAATTCTTGCTTAGACACTAAATGTATTTTTAGCATTTTCTTCTTTAGCAATTTTTCAAAAAGGGGCTTATTTCACTCGATGATATTTTACAAGGATAATTTTTCTATGTCCTTTAACATTCCCTAGACACACTCAGTGGTGTTGAGATTAGGGCTTTGTTCAGGATGGAGCAGATGTTCAAGTTTACTTTTATGGTCTTCAAATCCCTCTGTCACCAAATCGTGATGTGATCTGGTGCACTATGATTCTATCCTGATACACATTACCTCTTCCGGGATACAATGTTTGAACATCTGAGGGCAATTGGTGCAATGAAAATCCGTGAAAGGGAATCAAGAATGATAACTGCTCCCCGAGTTCCAGGCTACTGTGGCCCAAACCGTCACCAATTCATCTTTACCGCCACTGAGAATACCAGAAAACTCACATCATGAGCCTTTGTAGGAGCTCTTCATATATAAACTCTATCAGACGGGGGGGGTGGAGACGGCGACTATGGACTCAGCGCTGAATTATACACATTTTTGCGCTGCATACTGTATTTGCGCGTTTCCCTCCTGACAGCAATGAAAATGGTGCTTACACTAGCGCTGGTCATCAAAAGCTTTCCTATATCTGCTTGGCTACGAATAATTTGAGTAGTCATTTTACGTTTTTTGGCTACAACTTTTTCTTTAATATTCTTACATCTTTTCTGGATAACTTCCTCTTACCTTAGAAACTGCATAAATTATTCGAAGTTCTTCATTTTTCCAGATATACAAATATAAGGCTGAATGTTGTGCTACGCATATTACAATACATAAAATAAAATTTTGACCTTGATGAAAGATATAGCAGCCAGATGGGCACTAATAATTTGTCCTGTTTTGAACTCTAATACATCTCCCATTTATATCTAGTAATTCTAGATATTTGAAGTCAATACCTGTAATGCCTCTGAAAATTCCCATTTTACACAGTTAATGTAGATAACATTCTGAAACATTCATGATTCTCAACCGAATGTGCATACGCTTGGTTTGAAATATTGAGTGCTATATTCGCTCCATGTTTCAGTTTTATACTGTGTAGCTCTTCTATATCTTTGTTAAATCGTTCTGTACTAGTGATTGTCAAATGAGGTTATACCAGGAATTCTCGAACTACTTTTATAAAAATCTAATATACCTTTATAATAAAATTTATGACAGGTTTCAAACCTTTTTTATGCCTACCTGGAAAATTAAAGAAGCAGTTTTTAATCAAGCTATTGCCAAAGAAAAAAAAAATGCAGTGAAAATACTGTAAACGTTACAAAACTATTTAAGAAATTTTAATTTATTTCCCCAACATTACCTTTAACTGAGAACCGCTATGATCATTTAAAATATTAAATAAAATAAATTACAGCATAATAATACTTTAATTTTAATAAAAACTTTAATAGTTCTATATAGAAAATGTTTAAATACTTTAATTCTTTCAGTCATACAATACAATCTTTTATTTATTTATTTATCAAAAATCATGGCCAAAAATAAATAAATAAATAAAAAAATAAAATAAAAACAGGTATTTCTAATCAAAATTTATAACCAATTTATGTCTGAGAGGTTTTGAATCTTCAGGGAGATAGGTGTGCCTACTTGATTGTACTGATCAAAGTGATAGCCGGTTGTTCTAAAACCCTTAGATGCAGCAGCAAATTTAATGAATTTATCTACTGTGGTTTTTATGTTTACATGTACCATTGTTGAAAAACTCTTATCGCACTCACACATTGTTAGAAAGACTTAAATTTGAGGGAACCTTTAGCGATACGATGAAATATGTTCACTCTCTATAATCAGAAGGATGTCAAAAAACTTTTTTTTAATTGGATTTGAGGATTTCATCATAGGGCAATCCTGCAATTTCTTTTTTATTTGATTAAAACATTTCTGGAAGCTCGTAGGTTTTTACTGGAGAAAAAGTGTCTCACACCCTAAAATCACTGTCTAAATGTCTGAAAAGTATAATATACCGGCTTTAATCAAAACCAGTCACGAAACACAAAGGTTGTTGCGCAATTATCCTGCAGACCTTTATTCGTTTCAGTCAGCTGCTGGAAGATGCCAAGAAAGAAATGTAGACTACGCAGCCTTTTCCAATCTATAAAATCTGTTGCCCCATCCGCATCTGAGTCAGAGAGGAAAATTGAACATCATATCTCGTTATGCGAATCTTGTTTCTTCAATAACTCAGCTTTCTTTGGAGGTGCTCTTGATGAAAACTAGGTTGAAACTACTAAACAGATTTCCTTCATGTAATTTTTCTATAACTGAAAAATTTAATCATTTTAATTTATTTCCTGTAGAAAGTCACATTATTTCCAAATTTCAGAAAATGTGTATCACTACCCATTTTTTGTGAGACTGCAAATAATCTATACCTCTTTTAGTTTTAAGTAGCAAAATGTCTTTCATACCTCCATTTTTATATCATTTGGGCAGTTCTGGGAAATCACAGCCGCCATCTGAACTACAGAGGACTAATCTATCTCAACCTTTTTGGGCTACAAAAAGACAATTATACTGGAAGTTATAGTACACCCCATGTCAGAGTAATCTGCAAAGCACTTTTCTTTGTCTATATCATGCTGAGTCACGAAGTTGTCAAATATCTCCGATATCTTTACCCATCTTACAAGTTTGTTGCAGAACGAAATACTTTCTACAGTAAGCGGAACAAAATTAATATACGCTAAAAGTGTTAGTAGCTGAGCCATTCTTGAGTATCTACAATTTCATTTTGTTTCCGGCAAATTTTGAGAATTTGTATTCATTATGGAGAAAATGATTAATACAGAGCTGGTTTACTCCCCATTTACAAATATTCTTCTCAAAATGACTTTCGCAACAGGAAGTAAATATAAGTGGCTATCAGAGTGAAATTTCAAGCCATTTCTATTCTTAAATTCTTAAAGTGATTTGTAATGATGCTTCAAGGCTTTTCATATCCCAAACTGGAAGCGATGAAATTACTTGTTTTCAGATTTTATCCCTGTTCAGGTACTCTTAGAAAACCCCACAGGCTTTGCCCTCTTTAAGTTATTTTGTGTCTTACAAAAATATTTTTAAAACGAAGATAACTTTATTGAATTATTGGAAACTGTAAATAACACATAAAACTTAAAACTATCTTCTTTTCTTAAAATATTCTTAACACAAGTATCATACTTTCTTACCTCTGAAAAAACTTGAGCTAGAATATGAAGGCAGAACTTTCTTTTCACTATATAGGTGCTCTTATTCAATGACAACCAGCAACTAGCTCAGAGTAGTTTCTTCCTAAGCAGAGAAGCTTCAGCTTCCACTGAGTCAGTAACATAATTAGTTGTAAATTTCTTCCATTTTTCGATTCGAATCTTTGTCTTTTAACATGTCATGTTTGTTTAAGGTTAGCCACCAATCCATTTTGCCCAGCATGCGAGAGAAAGTTGGGGAAAACTGCAAAAGATATAACAATTTCGAAGTAAATTTAGGATTCTAATTTCAACATACATACCTGATAACAGAGTTATTAATCGGCTACTCGTTTGCGTTCAGAAGGAATAGAAAATAATCATAAAAGCATTTCATGAATTATTTTTTTAAGCAGGCACTTAATAGTTCGGCTACCATTGCTTTCTCTGGAGGGACTGACAGTTACAACTATGCCTTCTTCGGGATTCGAATCCGGACTCTTCGGTATCCCAGTCGGCTCCACTAACCACTGGAAGATATTCCATTAACCACTGGAAAAAGTCTATATAAGCTATTTCAATATGTCAGCAACAGAATATGTGATATGTATGTTCATTATGTAATTTTGTATTTATGCTGTGCCAGGTTCTCATACATAAAGTTCGTACTGTATCTGAATGCTGTAATGTATCTGTACATGTTTATATCTTTTATTTATGGTACCTAGTTTATACTAAGGATCACGCGTACCTCAATGGCATGCTTCTTGTAAACTTTAACTATCATGATAACTTATATGTATGGGTGTATATATCAATATGAGTGAGAGTATGTATACTTCTATTTGTTTCGGAATATCTATGTATGTAAGTGTGTATATGTCTGTATATGAGTTTGTATTTATATGTATTTACATATATTTTGATTGTGCTCTTCTTCAAGTGCCTTGTATGCACATGTATATATTTCTTTGTACATTTGTTGTACTCTTCTTCAAGTGCCTTGTATGCATATGTAGAGCTGCGGCCTGGTAGCTAGTGGTTGACTCCCGCCGAGTTGGTAACCAATTCTGCGTGGATATATCTATACCTGGGTCGGAAGCCAACTCAGCGGTTTACCTCCACTAACCACTATATCGTCTGGGTGGCAGTAAAGGGGTTATTATATTCGCTACTTTAAAAATAGTAAGAAAATAATCTTAATTAAAAAAATTGCAACTAAATATTCTTCTAAGGATAAAGTAATAAATGAAATTAATAGGAAACCAAAGGAGAAAATGTCTCTCAGTTCTTGAAAATTCCTCGCCACGATTTGTTTCTTACCATGACAACTCTTCGTATATCTTCTGAAGGGCAAACGTATACTCCTGGGTTTTACGCGCAAGACAGTAAGAACTACCCGGTATCCATTATTTTCTCATCTTCATAGTCTTTATTATTTAATAGCTCACTGAAATACTTTTGAGTAAAATGAACAGCAGTAGTTAGGGAAAAGGCAGAAAAACTAACTTGTTAATAAATTAATAAAATATTTATGTGTAGCTATGTCTAAATAAGAGGAAAGAAGCTTGTCATGTTATTACAATGTCAGTTTATTCTTTATTACATAAACAATGCTTTAAAAGTGTCCAAATTTTAAATGAAAAATGTAATCAAAACTATTTTGCATTTTCGGAGATTTTAGGAAAGTTACTTATTCTACTAATTATGCAAAACTGCCTTACGATCTCTCGATTTAGATTAATACAATTATTACTTGCGACTACATCATACTATAATAAATCGTTCTATTCATAGCTCCTAGGTTTTCATTTCATGCTGCAGGTCTTCGTTATTTGGGACAGCACTATTTGGCTAATTTGTGGATTAGGTTGCTGCAATGTTTATAGTGTCTTTCGACACTAGCTTATCTTCCTTGAGATATAATTTCGGTATACAGCAATACCTCGCGTAGTACGGATAATTGGTGTCACCAAAATAATGGACTGTTTGGGGGGGAAACCAGAGGAGGAATTAAATACATACAGAAAATGATAAATGGTTCCAAATTTTTTTCTCGGTATTTTTCAATCAATAAAACACGATTAATCAATTGAAATGTCATTATTAGAAATAATTGTAAGAAGTGCATTTTTCGCAATTCATTTCTTTATTTTCTATAAATAAATGAAAGTAATAATTTTAAGAAATGTAATTTTTCGTAATTTACTTTTTATTCTCTAAAAATTGCAATATTCGATATCTGTAGATTTCTCTTCTTTCTCCTTTCCTTTTTATATATTTTTTTAAATAACGAATTACATTGTTTATCGTTCGGCGAATTGTAAGGCTATGTTCAGTATCGGAATCGAATTCCATAATATATTTGACAAGGTTTCATGATTTTTTATAGTTGTTCAGTTATTAATTTTCGAGCAGATTTCAACTTAGTCACCATTGCCTAAGTTGTCTTCCCGTTCTTGCATCAGTTTAATAAAAGTCTTTATATAATTCATCAGGATTCGATTTGATGCAGTCAGTTACGTTGACAGAATTTAATTCAATGAAACCAAGTTGCTCAGTTTTCACTATATTATTAACGACATCATCATTACCAGTTTCATAACTAATAAAATCATCTGCACAGTATGGTATGATGTATTTCCATACTGTCTTCATATTGCTTAGCGTTAATTTATTTCATGCTTGACAGTATTTTCGATAACGTTTCTGATGTTTTAGCTCTCATTAAAATTTCATTAAAGAAGGCAGTAGACGCATTTTTTTATAGTGTTAATGGCTTGCAAAAAAGTGAAGCACAAATAATAGGCCTTAAAATGTCCCTATGACACCTTGAATCATTGGTCGGATCCATAGCACAAGATTTTGCAGAAAGAATTTTATGTAATATATAAAGGAAGAGGAACTGAACTCATCATTTATGAATTAAAAGTTTTGTGCAGTAATATTTTAATTTTGCTGTATTCGAATTTTGTTTGTTTTGAAATTTTTAAATCGTACTATGGAAAAATTGGATTGATCGAAGCCGGGCTATGCGATTGCTGTATTTTGCCCCCCCTTTTATTATACCATTAAAACCAACATACCGCTGAGTGATACCGTTAATAAAGTAAGACGTACATATATAGCTAAATATTAGCAATCATATTCCAAGGCCGAATACTAATCGAGTTTTTCTGTAAATGTATTTGAAGAAAAGCATAACTAATACTCGAACTTATCAATAACAGTTCAGAATTTTCGCACTTAATAATACGCTAATGGTGTTTTCTTCTTTATTATTTCCTTTCCTGTATATAACACACAGGAGGAAGCTTTCCCCACGTCAGTGGTTATGAGTCCATAACATTTGATCTATCCGCTTACACCATTGCCAGTAAAAGACGTTCAAAATGCTTGCGATGCAATTTTATGAACCCCCCTAAAAATAAAAAAAAAAATAAAAAAAATAAAAAAATAAAAAAAACTTCATTTGATTCAGCTGTCATATTAGAAGATATTTCATTGTTATTATTATTATTATTTCTTTTCCTTTCTTTATCTCTTTTTGTTTAAAAAATATTAAAGATGTCTCTTGGTTCTGACAACATGACGGGGGTCTCCCACATTCAGTGGTTGACGCTGAAATCAACCAACAATCATTCGCAGGTCAATGTTTTTTTACCATTGAAGGATGCGTGCTTATTGGCGAACGTCCTTCAAATCTTGAAGTGGTAGTTTATTATACCAACTCGCGACACTTTCCGACCTCTAAATGAAACTGGTATTCACTGTAATTCCTATAAACACCTTTTTCTCACGAGTAATTTAAAACCCTTTGTTGGCGAAACAGCTTTCATGTTATAACGGTTTATTAAAGAACATTTTCATCGTGAATGAAATGCACTTTTGCGCATGTTATTCACGATGGATTATTACGATATTACGAATTTCCGTAAATGGATTTTGCATTCTTAAAAAGTAATAATATTAAAGCAAAGTCGATTAATTTCGTTTTCAAACTTTAATGTGAAGCTGAAAACTATATGCAGGAATGCTTCTGGAAGATTTCTTTCTGAAGCATGAAAACTCTTCTCAATTTACTTTCGTCTGTAAACTTCATTAAAAACTATTTTATTAACTTAAAAGAAATCTTTTAATAACATGCGAAAAACTCTTACGCAGTGCACTTGAAATGATAACAATTTAACCATTCGTTTACCCTTTGGTAACTCAGCTTTCCTTTCGTCTCACATTTTAGAATTTTCATTTTTTTCAACCATTAAACATTAGAACCTGTAAGATTTCACATTAAGCTCTAAAGATCACAATTAAGCATCCTCAACAGTGGTGTATCACCAGGGTACCTGGGCTACTCGGCCCTGCCCCAAATCGAAGAATTAACTTTCCTAATTATACTGGCAAATGCACAAACTTGTAATAAGTTAGGAATTTCACATTAATAATTGAAGCTAGTGCTCATGATAATTTTGACAGTGAGTAATAATTGAGGTATTAAAAATATAATAATATTTTTTTTTTTTTTTTTTTAAGCTGTACAGTTCGAGTTGGTGACGAGAACCTGAAATAAAAGGGATTAATAGCGCAAGTAAACGAAAACTAGTGCTGCTATGTGAAAGAATTTATAAGAATATGACAATATAAGATATAGATTACCACATGGGAAAAATGCATAAGGTACGAGGCAGCAGAATACAAATATACAAACAGGTAACAGGTACATAATTACAGGTTCAATACAAATTACATATTATAGATGTTTAAAATAGACACTGGTTTGCTTAAGTTGGACAAATCATTATAGTCATAAATTACATACTTTAACAGCTGTGCTGCAATTAGTTGCTTGACCCTCGTGAAACTTCTTGGCAATGTTATAATAATGGGTTCTAAGCAGGCCGACATTAAGTTCTTTATGAATACTTTTATTACGTATGTACCAAGATGAATTAGTGACCTGACGGAGAACACAGTTCTGAGCCGTTTGCAAATTTTTTCGATTTGTTCTGCAGGTTCACCCAGACTGAATATACATAACATGGTAAGAGACGCAGAACGGACTTATAAATGAGCAACTTGTTATCTAAAGACAAAACACTGTTTCGAGCAATTAAGGGAAAGAAGTGAGCTTTACGCACTCGAAATTTCTGTATAATAGATGTAATGTGTGTGTGGGGGGGGGTAAAAGTTTTATTGAGGATCATCTCAAGTTAAAGAACTTCCTTGGCCCAGGGTAGGGTAGTTCCATAAAACTTGAGATTCTTCTTGATGTTCTTTTCCCTAGAGAACTTGATAGTTTGGGTTTTGTCAATATTTACAAGGATCTTTCACTTGGCAAGCTAAATCTCTAATGTTTGTATGTGTTCTTGTAACCGTTGGATGACTGAACTAAGAAATGCACTTTGTGCTAGAATCGCTGTATCATCAGCATATATTGCGAGTGTGGAGATGGGTGTGGTGGAAATGTTGTTCACGTAAATGTTAAATAATGTGGGTCCATGTAAGGACATTTTTGGTACATTAGCATGGATAGCTCGGCGGGTAGAATATGTGCCAGAGACGCGAACGATAAAGGTGTCTACCTGTTAGGTAAGATTTCACAATGTTTGTGATGTAGTTTCGGAAACCTAGACAGCGTAACTTGTAGGTGAGTGCATCCAGCCATACATAATCGGAGGCCAAAGTCAGAAGTAAGCTACAAATAAAGCAAAACAATATAAACATGAATAATTTAAAAACATGTGTTTTAAGCGATAATCAAATAATCATGAAAATGAACATTATGTTTTGTAATTTTTTCCCTAGTTATGAAAAATTTTAGATCATCTAGATAAAAATAATATTTTTAAATAAAAAATATGGGAACCTTAATAAATCTGTAGTTTGATGGGGAAATGCCAAAGTAATGAGCTACAGGATAATTTTTTCACCTTCCACTGAAAGGCTACACGTTGTTTAACTAGCACTGAAAGTTAACATTTTATGTACATATAAAAAAGGAATGAAAAATTAAAAAATAAAATTCATTTGCTCTAATTGCTGCAACAAATAATGTGATATATTGAAAGAATTTTTTCCCCCTACAGGCCTGGCAAACCGAAATAAAAAATACATTAAAATGGAGTCCTCAAAAAATACAAACATAGGAAAAACATGCAAAATTGTAGCTCTTCGTCAGGGAGAAAACCGCAGTTTCACACGATCATTCGCTTTCTGCTGAATTTATTTTTAGAAGAATTTAAAATTGTGAATAATTCAGAAAATCTCCAAGGGCAGTAATTTGAAATAATTATTAATTCCCAAATCATCCCCAAAACAGACTAGTTCCAAAGCGAAAACAGTGTCAAATGTATTTATAAAGAATAAAAAAACCCAGCTAGATTGATCAGAAGCTTGCAAAAATTATGGAAAATTAAAAATTTTATTTGCAACAAAAACTACGCATTTGTTTGAACCTTATTTGAAGCAGGAAAAATTATTAATCTAACGTAAATATATTACTAGTTGAAAGAACGGCATTTTGCTAAGCCATGCCTTCACAGGTATTTTTTAAAATCAATACTGCTGCTTTTTTTTTTTTTTTTTTTTTATTGTATAACTAAAAGTTCTTTCCACGAATCAAAATGCCATTGTTTTCTCAACTGCCATATCCTGTTGACAGTTTTGTTTCTGGCATTTTTTAAAAATTTAATAAAATTTTTGTTCTGTTTCAAATGAGGTTCAAACAACTGCTTAAGTTTTGAGTTACAAATAAATCTAAGCTTATGCATTTGTTTGTATATAAATACACACATAAATTTTAATAATTAATTTCGATTTGATTATCTCCTAAGAAAGGATAAGTAAATACTAACAAAATGGGGCATTTTTAAGATGAAATACTAATGCAATCGCCATCACCTCTGTAGCGTGAGCTTCTTATTTTTGCAGTTATTGCTGGTTTACGTGGCATAACAGCCACTACTTTGCTGCCACTAGATTTCGACGCGGTTTTAAATAACAGGATTATCTGAGCCCTGTAAAGTAATTTCTTCTGCTTGTTAATATCTTCGAATAATTATTTAAGTTCTTGTTATTTGAGATACCGCTAGAGTGAGCGTAGTGTGTTAGCGTCAAGTCGACGCATTGTGAATTTTAAAGAGTTTAATAAAGGGTACTTTTAACCCTTCTCCTGTGCAGTTTCTACACTCACTTCAGTTGTCACTTTAGAAGATAAACAAGGGGTTCTTACAAGCAATAAGGCTTTCCTCATGTTAATTTGGGTACTTACCCTTTCTATTCTAAAAATAGTAACAACTTTTTTCTGGACTGTGTCATTGCTAGACCAATCCATCAAATAACTTGCACATAACGACGATTATGTAGCTAATTCGAATTTCAAAGTTTCGAAATCCGAAACCCTTCTTTGAATAAGTCTTCATACTGGATAACTGTGCACTTGCTTTCTGCACCTCTGCTTCCATAGACTACTGCTTGCTACTTCTTTTCTTATCACAAAGCTATCAAAAATGTAAAATGTCCGAAATAGGCGCGATTAGCATGCAAAGTGAATTGTGGTTGCAAATATCAATTGAAATAAAAAAGGAATATTTAATCTGCCTCGGCTGCCAATTTTGCTTCTTATTATGGATCAACATCTTCACAATCAACTTTCATACATCATTACGTCTAAGTCTACAACAACATTACACACACACATATATATATATATACATATATTCAATTTCAAAATGAAGTAAAAAGTCGGAACGTAAATTAAATGCATACATATATATACATAGACAGACATATACATATATATACATGAATACATAGACAGACATAAAAATTAAAGAATATTTAATTAAATAATGAATTTTGTGCAGTGCTGCGAAATTCATTAATTAATTAATAAAAGAATGAGACACGTATAGAGCAGATATCGACTAAAGATGGGAATCTAACAGGAAGCCATTAATTAAAACAATATGAAGAAATAAGTTGGACATCAAACCCGAAACAAAAGTAAATCAGCCCTCCCCCTCAAAAAAAAAAAAAAAAAAAAAAAAAAAAAAAAAAAGGGAGGAGAGATAACAGAAAATTCGATGTCTTTCTCAAGCAGCAGCCGAAAGAATTGTCAACAGATACACATTTTTGAATTATATCTGGAAACAAACTGCAAAAGAAAAATAATCAAATTAAAATATGTTTTGAGAAACACTGAAAACTAAATTTATAGAACATTTTTAAGGAAATTTGATGGACATTTAATAAGGAAATTAAATATATATTTATACATATACAGATAAGAAATTATATGTAAAGCAACTTTTTTAATTTTTTGCGAACATCACTTAACATTCTAATTGAATGTGTAACGTGTATACGAGCTAGTTTCCCTTAGAAAGTCCTCCACGAAGGCACCCCTCCCCTTAGGCAGATAGCCCTCGTGTGCTTTGCCATAATTAAATACACCAACACACACACCATTCTAATTGAAATTGGATATTCCGCTCTCCATCCTTTTCATAACAGAGCTAAATCGGAACTTAAAGTCAAAATTTGCAAACCAAAACATTTTTCCTTCTCAATCAGACCTCCATCTTGGATTATGTCACATTTCGTTTTCTGCTTCGCTTCTTCCAAATATTCTAGCTAGTTGTCCTCGAAATTATATCTAAAAAATTTATGTAGTTCCTCAAGAACAGGCAATATTTGTGCAAGCATTTTGTGGCCCCTTAACTAAATAAAAAGAAATATTTAAATTTGCCATAACTGCCAAGACTGTTTTTTATAGATTAACATCTACGCTATCAACTTTTCTACATTATTATTCTCATGAGAGGGCCCGCCAGAGGCCGAGCGGTAACGTCGCTGAACACTGGTAGTTCGGTCCGAATCCCGCGAACGGGCTGGCTGCATGAGCGTTTCCGTGGTTTCCCCATGTGTAACGTGTATACGAGCCAGTTTCCCTTAGAAAGTCCTCCACGAAGGCATCCCTTCCCTTAGGCAGATAGCCCTCGTGTGCTTTGCCATAATTAAATACACACTTACACCTATCCTCATGAAAGTAAAATTATACTCTATTATTACGCATTTAGCATTGCTGCACTTGAGCATAATACACTGGTGTGCAAAAATTAAGGACGAAGTCGAAAAATTAGCATATCAGCTGAACGAAGAGGCAGAGCGGACAGAAAGACCAATCAGGAGATTAAGTAAGGTGATGTACGGTAGCACATGCGCAGATATGCAGGTTGACGTAATGGGGGAGTGTCTGAGTAGTATAAAGCATGTTGTCGGTGTAAGATCAGTATTTCTGGCAAAGAGATTGCACGCCGTATAGCAGTTAAAATCACACCGAGTTGCTGCCTCAGCGAGAAATGGCGAATAATTAATCTGTTAGACGACATCTGGATGCTTTTACCCGAGGTCGAATCATTGGGAAGTTGGAGGAAGGCCGCAGTTGACAAGTGTGGCTGCAGAGTTCGGAATTGCTACAGCATCGTTTCACGACTTTGGAGACAATTTCAAACTACAGGAACAGCTATCCGGGGGGTTTAGTAGTGGTCGTCCACGAGGAACCACACCCGCAGATGACCGGTATATTGCCTTACAGGCCAGAACAGGCGGCAGACAGCGGGAGAAATCGCTAGACACACGACACAGGCGACTGGACGACCGATATCGCGTTTTACCGTGGCCAGAAGACTGCACGGTGGTGGCCTGTTTGCACGACGCCCTGTACGGTGTGTACCGCTAACGCCTGCCCATCGGAGAAGGCGTTCTCTGTGGTGCCGGGAACACCGGAATTGGAGAGACAATGAATGGGGACGAGTACTCTTTACAGATGAGAGCAGATTCAGTCTGAGTAGAGATTCTCATCGCATACTCATCTGGAGAGAGCGGGAAAGCCGCAATCATCCCTCGAACATCATTGAAAGGGACAGGTATGGAGGTGGCAGTGTTCTCGTTTGGGGAGGCATCATGGTTGGTAGTCGTACAGACCTTCACATCTTCGACGCAGGTTCAGTCAACGGGACACGTTATTGTAACGAGATTCTTCTTCCATATGTGCGTCTTTTTAGAGGCGCTATGGGTCCGCAGTTCCTTTTCATGGACGACAATGCACCATGTCATCGCACAGTATCTGCCGAACAGCTCCTAGAGAGTGAGGATATTGAACGTATGGATTGGCCGGCACGATCTCCGGATCTCAATCCCATCGAGCATGTATGGAATATTCTAGGCAGACGCTTGGCAGCTCGTACCTTACCACCAGTAACGATTCCGGAGCTTCGATTGGCGCTACAAGACGAATGGGCAGCAATGCCTCAGCAACTCATTGACACCCTCATTCTCAGCATAGGCAGACGCTGTGAAACCTGCCTAGCAGTCAGGGGAGATCATATCCCCTATTAAAGACCGGATGTTTCTTGCTGGACACCCATCACAGGGATGTTTCGGCCTTCAGTCGCATTGCTCTCCATGCTACTTTTTCAATAAAGCTTCTTTTTATCCCTCTGATTTCTCTTTTAGTAAGTGTTGCTTACATTACTTATGTCCTTACGTATTGGGAATCTCACGGTATTAAATGTGTTGATTTATAAAGCTTTTGTACAAAGTTATATTGAAAAAACCGTCTCGTACTTAATTTTTGCACACCAGTGTATATATTTATTTGGGTTTCGGGTTAGGACTTGGATTAAGACCTTT